CAAAGGTCCATAATTTTGATCGCATATAAAGCTAAGTCTAATCAACCAAATTTAAAAAAATTATATATGAAATAGGGGTAGAAAAGACTGAAAAATATAATAAAATTAGAAATAGATTGATATCTCCAAATTTGCGGAAGTTAAGGCTTCCTCTACGAGGAAACCAAGTGCAAATTTTTAATTTGCACAATTTTATTAATTACTGTTTGTAAAATAAAATAAAACACTAAATTTACGTTGTCCTACTTCACCGAATATTTTAATTTGACATTGCAAACATTGTTTTTTGTGTATAAGTACCGTGCTTACCATATCTCGTATCTGCGATAGGAATGTCCTCTTGAGCAATATCCAGAATTGCACCCAACCGTTCGTCGGGAAGCCGACCTTCTGCTCTATACTTTCCGCGCTGTCCAGCAACGACGTCGTGCATGAAACCGGCATGTTGATCATCGTCGCGCCAGTCGGTGGCTTCGCGACTCCGTTCGGTATCAAAGCGGCTCCCTCCGGTTTTGTCTGCTCCTGCGGCGACTCCTTGGCGATGTCGTTCGACACGGTCTGCGCCGCGGCGATGGCTCCCTGATGGTGCTGATAGTTGTTGCACTTGCCGTTGTTCACGGCCATCACGAGCTTGTGAACGCATTCGCCGTGCTCCCCGCAGGCAACCTCCATCACTAAAACGATAAAATTTGGTTAACGCACCGCATAAGAAACTTAGATGATGAGTATTAATCTTCGTAAGATGCTCAAAATCTCGAGATTGAAATTATAATCTTATCTTGAAAGTTTATCTGACAAAAGAAATCATAATTTAAAATCTTGTATATATATATATATATAGAATTCTATATATATATAGAAGCAACAATTAAAATTTGGATCGATTAGGATGATGGAAACTCCATCGAGTATACTTGCCGTAATCCGCTGGATTATGGTAACTTGGGCATTCGAGACCCATCGATGACAAGAAGGGCACTAGGCCACCGACATTGCCTTGATATATACACTGGCCTTCGGCAAGTATGTACAGATGATCGAACATCTCGAACAGTCGCGCACTCGGTTGATGGATGGTACATATAATCGTCCTTCCTGTAAGAGATACCAGCGCGTATCGGTAACGACTCCTTTATAAACTCCTTTATAAAACTTTACCTCCTCTGCTTAGG